GGGATTCATTTGGGCAGACTTTCATTTAGTTCTTTCAGCTTGTAGTTTTCAGAAAAAAGAAAGTCTAATCACCAATTTAAATTTTATGCATTTGATGAATTTTCTTACAATTATTACGAATTCTCCATGTTGATGGGGAAAAAAAAATTTTAACTTGTCGTTTTGATTCTCATCCCAATAAAGCAACAAAAAAGCTCAAAAAGGTACAGAGAGCCATGCCAAATCAGTCCTCAAAAGACCAAACAAATTGGAACTTCTACGACAACCACCAATTCAAAAGATCAGTATACCATAATTCAAGACCAAAGCAACACCATACTTAAAATGCTAAGAAAAATACCAATTCCGTTATAAGAAATCAAAGGTCAAACTAATTACCGCGTCATTTTTCAAACTGCGACAAGTTCAAATATAACGTCATTCATTACGCAATACTGATTGTTATAACAAAGCATGATAATTCTCGAAGAATACAAGAAAATCATTCCACGCTCACTTTTTACAATTAGATTTCCAAATCCGGAAATCCTGAAAATAACCAGTGATTATAGGAATCAATTGAGAAAACAATTCTAATAAACAAGCATATCATCACTGTAATAGCAGGTTGCAATGGTAAAAGGTTAAGCAAGTATTACCTTAACCAGATCGACGATGATGTTGTTAATCGGGATAAATATCAGCTTAACGAAAAACCCTACGAATCCCATCACAACGAATCGATCGCAGTGCGGACCCGACTTTCGTGAATTCTTCCCCAAACCACAAAAACAAGCTAGATGTTAGTAGATCCGACCATCCAACCAAAATGCAGATCGAAATGAAAGACTCAAGCAAAGACAGAAATCGAAGCCTAAAAGACGAGACAGTTGCTATTACCTTTGCGATCGGGTTTATGACACCTCTTGACTAGGCGGACGCTGTCCTTGGCGAATTCTTCTCAATGGATCGAATACGGAGTCCAAGGCATCCATCCTTGTTCTGGAGAGAACTCGAAGAACAGAGAGAACGGAGATTAGACCTTGAAATGCGAAAAGCAATGGACGCGTAATGAAAATGATACAAGGGACTAAATTTATACGAGGCGGCGTGCCGGTACTGGCGTAACTAGCTTGCCCACCCGCGTCTCTTACTATTTTCACTCTTCGGGCGCGAGAATCGTGGGAGATGGGTTCGGACCACTGGACTCTAAGAATTTATTATTTAGTATTTATATAAAAAGCTAAACTGATAAAATAAAAAAATAAATTTAAACAAAGGGAGAATCAACTTCATTTTGCATAATTACACGAGCGGGAGAATTCTTTTTTGGTGCTAAAATTTGATTGCGCATTTTTATTTTTGCAACCATATAATAATTCAATACTAAATTATGTAATAATAGTTGAGATTAAGGAATCTGGTTGTTCAGATCTAGACGAATGATCTCGTAGTCAGGACAGAATCTTAGACGACTCTCTCTCACCTAACGCATCCAAATTTCCACGAGACAATAATAGCCTTGCATATGGAAGATATAATGTAAAGAAATGGAAGTTTATGTTTAGAAGGAAATGAAATTTGATCAAAGCCATTGGCTTAATTATTAAAATGAATATAAAAGCACATCCTGGACCCTTCAAATAGCTTCCAGCACCCCAAAATGGCCCATCATCTACACATATTCACTAATCAAACAACATTAATGACATTCAGGATCTTGCAACAACATCCCTCATGCAAATATTTCCAGAGCTGCTCATTGGCAGCCTTGGCAGATGCCTTAAAACCAGCTGTATCCACAAAAAGGCCTTAACATTTGAATGCCTGGGGTTTTTCTGGGCAATTGCCTAGTAAAAGACATTCCAGGTGATTGATTCTTGAAGTATCCTCTGCGCATCATGCTGACTATTTCTCTTTCGCTGCAGATGAAGAGTCTGGCCTTTTGACGTTGCACAGCTCGAGGAACAAATGAAAACCACGTGTGTGGCGGTGACCAAAGCTGATGGCCGATGGTGTGGTGTCTGATGTTCTCAACTTTGAGACTGCTGAAACAAGGTCATCGATGGTTTCTTCCTCTACTTGCATTGCATTTGAAGCCTCTTCGCCTTTGTGAACTGGTAGTTTCCGCTGGTGCTTCTGCCTTTGCTTCTTTGATGGCCGGGCCTTCTTAAAGAACTCAAAGGAAGCAGGAACTTATGCTTGTCTACAAGATGCTGTTGCCGACTTTTGTAGCTCTTCAGCTTCATACCACACCCCTCAACTAGGCATTCGTACTTGCACAAGCAAACAAAACTGTGATTTTATATTCGGTGTGTATAGATTACAAACAGATGCAAATTATACACTGCACACAAATAAAAATTATATTTGCCTACCAATTACACCCATAAATGTTTATATATTACAAAAGGAGATACATACAATCCAGATAAAAATAACATACAAAATACAAAATCGCAAGTAACCATGCAGCAATAGAGAACATCAACTTTTATGGTAGAACTGCAAAGAAAAATAAGGCTTGTTGCTAGCTAGCTACTGATCTTGAACACAAAAAAATACGATCTCAACTAAGCATTGTGAAGAAATTTGCAACAGTCACTATGAGAAGCAAATTACCATAGCAAAGCCACGAGCCACTTTTGCTTGAAAGAATGAATCATGTGATTCAGCAACATGAATGCTGAGCAAACGTGATGTAGGATACACTCTTGAGCAAACTGAGCAAGATGCCATATGCCGTGCATTGTAATGATCTTCAAATCCATCCAAAGAATTCAAACGAGCACCACAACCAACAATTGGACAAAACACTTCCCTGTACAGGCATCCGCTTTTGTGGGTTTGTCATTTATTCTTGCAAGAAGTTACTCTAAAAACTGAAGTGGATATCAGGAAATTCAAATGTCTTCTCTATTTCTTAATTTCCAACAATAGTAAGTTAAATTGCTATATTATATGAACAAGAGGAATCATACGATAGGCAGTGAAAGAGAAATTTTTTTGCAATCGGATGACACATTTGTTTTTGTATCACTCAAGTCACTTGCCCCAACTTCTTAGCATAATCAAAATTTACAATTTTCACTAAATCCAACAGATGTATAACCCCAATATACATCCAATTTTACAAGCATGAACTAGTAATAGTTCCCACATTATTGAATTAAAAATTTTGGTGAATGCAGTATACAGAGGAAATTTATTTTCCAAACTTACTAACAAGTTAGAAAAAGTGGAGTACTAAATTTCTAATGCTCAATATCTCCATGGTCAATGACACAATAAATCACAGCAGTTCAGTCAGTCGTTGCTGTTGTTTGATGTTGTTGTCAATAAATGATGGTGTTAATTCAGAGTCACCAAAGTCTATTATGTTCATCTTTTTTGTCAGTGTATCAACAAGACATCATCATCAAATTGTATCTCCAAACTGACAGAACAAAATGGTAAATGGTCAGGAACTGGTCACAAAATTGATCAGATGTCTTCTTCAAGTAATGATCAATTGTAGGCTTTCAACTCACACTAAATTACTAATCGATTTCATGTTTGTTTATGCGTGTGCCACAGTTTTCAGCTAGCTGTAGCCTAGTAACAGGTGTTGTGAGTCAATAAGAAGTGTATGAAATGTCAATTTTCTATATTCCAATCAATGAGACAATTCCTCAACTAACTCGGTTGTTTATTGGTTCCATGTCCATTAGGGGTCTTTAATGTCTTTTGCTTGTTGTTAGCTGTCCAACATAAACACGGACCTGGATTCAGTATCTATTAAATTCTACCTAAACTTTATAATCAAGACCACTATAATAATAGAACTGATATAAACTGATTCTCACACATCACACATGATAGATACTGCATGTTACACAACAATGTTCGAATCACGTATCCTTGCAAAATCCATATACTAATTTAGTTGAGTACATCAAATCACTAAAAGATAGTGTGGCGAAACTTGAATTTCATATCAATAAAAATGATTTTCCGTCCTTCAAAAATCAATATCTTTCCTGCTAAGTGTCTCCTGCATGATTCCCCGCAATTTTACAATAGGCAATCACGAGTATGGACTCTGTAATCCCAATACAAGAATATAGGAAGCTACCAATAATACCTGTTTTCCCCATCATCCATAATTTGAAGCTGCTGCTTGTCATCCTCGGTTATGTCTAATGCGACCTAAACTTCAGAGCAGGATAGAGTTAAAAAATTGACAACTTCCATTTGTCTTGGCAGACAATATATATGAGTTGAATTTCCAACACAGCGAATCGCCTTAAATCTTTTCGAATTTTTACATCATAAGCATATCTCACCATGACAAATCATCAATTCAGAAGTTGGTAATTCGATTCGATTATGTGCATATGTATACGAACATATACGAGAAAAAAGAAGCGTAACGAGTGTAGATAAGTAACCTGCTTCGCTAATAATTCTCTTTCAATATTGCCAGAATCAAAGAAGGGAGCATCGGGAGCAAATCGCCGGCGAACGGGATTCCAGTAAGGAAACCCTAGCGGCGCTCGGTTCTCTACATCCATCGCCATGTGACCGTTAGAAGTCTGACGCACCGCCTCCGTTCAACTTCGAGAACATTAGTGTAATTTATAGCTGATCCCTTTTTTTTTTTTTTTTTTTGGCCCTAAAACAGATGGAAAGGAAAGTGGGATCAGATCATTATAGCATAAAAGCGCAGCTATGTTCACAATTTAAAAAATATATATATATATATGGGGTTACAACAAGGGCAAAACGTCCAAGAAAAAAAGGACCGGACAGCATGCAAAATAATATTAAGAGAGCGAAAACTCTAAAAGACTCACGGGGCAGATGCTTCTTCAGCTGAGTAGGGGTATACCCAATTTTTGAAGCGGATAATGGCAGAGAATAAATTTCGCCATCATATTAATTAGGGGTAAGCGTAAATCTGCCGGAAAAATTTATTTTCATATCCCAAATTTTATCCTAATTATAAATCATTTTTATAATTTTAAATTTTAACAATTTTTATCCTTTCAACAAATTTTAGTAATATATTCTAATTAATAAAATAGTATTTTAGTCATTAAACATACAATAATTAAATAAAATAAAAAATATCATCACAAATTTTCTTTTATTTTCTCAACCAAGTATTAACGAGCTTTTTTTTCTATTTCTTTCAATTACAAATTAAGTATTAACGAGCCTTTTTTTATTCTATTTCTTTCAATTACAAATTAATTTGTCTGCAGACATAATTAGAATGAGTTTTAGTATTTATTATTATATTGATTATATTTTAACTAAGTTAAAATATTTAAAATTTTATTAAAATTATAATAATTAATTTATAAAATCAATGAATTATTTTAAAATCATGTCATTCCATATTATATTCATGTTAAAATTTTTTTTATTAAAATCATGAATTATTATTAGTTTTAATAAAATTTTAAATATTAAAAGTTAACATGTATTTAATTTGTAAACAAATTAGGCTTTAGATGTGATATTCATAATACCTAATTATTTATATGACATTTAAAACTTGGTGTATTTACAAATTAAATAAATATTAATTTTTTACATAAAAAATTTTAATAATTTCAAATTTAATTAAGCCAATAATCAAATTAAAATAATTGATTTCATAATTGTCAAATTGTTCTCGTTCAAAATCAATTTGGTTAAGTTTGAGATAGAGCTCAAATTGAAAATTCCATTTTAGTTTCTATTTTGGTTCTAAACAAAAAAAATTAAAATCAAAGTCAAGTAATCAAAAATCATTCCAACCAATTGGAAATTCCAATTGCTATGATTTAACAATTATAATAAAGTACAAAATTTTTATATGAATATAATATGAAATGACATGATTTTAAAATAATCCATTGATTTTATAAATTAATTATTATAGTTTTAATAAAATTTTAAATATTTAACTTAGTTAAAATATAATCAATATAATAATATATACTAATACTCACTTTAATTATGTCTGTAGATAAATTAATTTGTAATTGAAAGGAATATAATAGAAAAAAGCTCGTTAATGCTTAGTTGAGAGCAATAAGAGAAAATTTGTTGTGACATTTTTTTTATTTAATTATTGTATGTTTAAAGACTAAAATGCCCTTCTATTAATCAGAATATATTATCTAAAATTGCTAAAAAGATGAAATTACTAAAATTTAAAACTACAGAGATGATTTTGTAATTGGAATGAAACCTGAGGGATGAAAATAAATTTTTCCCTAAATCTGCCCACCCAACTTGATTCACCTGCTTAACTTCCTTGTAGCTCCACAGTTTACATTAATATTTATAGGATAATAATTTAAAATTATGCAACTCGCTCGTAATTAGATAAAGTAATAGTTTAGATTTTTTAAAAACTCATCATCACTTGTCCGGTCAACCGTATATATGTACACACATATACACACTAATATGCATATAATTATGTTTTAATATATACATATTCTATTAAAATAAATAAATAAATTACTCTGTCTTACAGATTTTTTCCCTCTATTACATAGGATACTTTAATCAAAGAAAAGAAAATGGTTAATAATATGTTGAATTTAATAGAATAATTTTTCTTAAATTATATTTTTTATTGAGTTTTATTTCTAGTAGACTAACCCATTACTCCGCCCACATTTGATCACGAACCACACGGTATAAAAGGATAACAGAGTAGGTGCAATTTGATATCTTTACCACCTGTTTATGTCGAGTCAAGTTAATGTTTTAATATGAACCTACTTGTGCACACCCCTAATATCAACTAAAACTAAGTTTTCCCCTAGCCACGTGCTTCACTTCCACATTCTAGTACTAACAAAGGTGGCTTTAATTCTGGGTAATGTAGGAAGCTAAGTAGATTGAGTGGTGCGCCTACCTTCAATCAACTCCACAAGTGATTTTGAATCTAACTCGAGGACAACTTTTTTATATCACAAGTTCTAAGCCAGTTTGAGGCTTTCTTAAACAACAAAGCTTTAGCTTCTAGTGCCCCTTGTACTTCCAATATTCCTAGAAAAGGCCCTTTATCAAAGCGCCCTCATGGTCACTAAGAAGGTCCCTACATCCTGCCATTAGATTGCCTGTCTTTGAAGCCCCATCTGTATTGATTTTAACCCATTCCCAGGTTGGGGATGACCACACAACATAATCTCTGTCATGGCCCAAATCTTGGGCCTGTGACCAGCACTAAGGTCCCTGATTCTAATCAATCTCATAACAACAAAATTATACTCGAACCAACCAAAATATGAATAAACATCTCAAAACGTTCAAGTACAAAACCAAAATCTTGTTTGAGTAATAAGGGGAGCACTAGAGTAAAGTAAATAAATAAATAAAGAACTCGCCCGTATGTCGATCGACTCGTGAAGCGCAGCTCTAAACACTGCTATCTGGTCTACCAACGATCACGATTGATCTGGAATGATGAAAATGTGTGAGTTGCGAAACTCAATGAGTAAGGATAATACCTAGCCTATGCATGCCATAATATGCATCACGCCACAAGCCTAAAACCAAACATATACATATATATATATATATAATAAGGCAATGCCAACATTAAAACATACATATGAGAGAGTAAAATGATCATTGAAACTCCAGCCTCAATCGGAGGAATACTCCGTCTCACGATCAGGCCCTGCATAGTCACATACCATGCTTCTGGTCAAAAGGTGTCCTCCATCTTACAACTAGAGTCACACGTCCACCAGGACAACCATATCACGTTCTCGATCAAGAGGCATCCTCCATCTCACGACTGGAGCAACACATCACGCCTACCAAGGCAACCATACCACGCTCTTGGTCGAGAGACATCCTCTATCTCATAACTAGAGCAAACGGTCTCAGTGCATCACTCGACTCTTCACATATTAAACCAAAACAAATACACAAACATATACAATCTATGAATCTCAAAGCCAGTTTCACGTACCAACATAGCTCACTGGACAACAATAAAACACATAACACATATCCTGAGGTTCATATAACAAATACAATCCATAAAATCTATGAAGTCATCATGTTAGAAAAGCAAGTATGAAAACACATGCATAGAAAGGGTATCATCATTTACAATACGGTCGAGTCAAAAAAGTCTCGAGTCACCTCAATTAACTCAACAGTCCGGGTACTCCTTCACAGGTGAATCTAAAATCAAAACCATACAAAACCATCACTAACACCATCACCAGCATAAGAAACGGGCCTAACAGCCTAAAACTGGACTCAAATCCCATCTCCGTGCCCCTGGCACACATCTCGAGGCACATACTACCCATCACCAAGACCCGCGCAACTTACTAACACTCAACACTTCAACTCAACAACCCTCGACAATAAGGAATTAGCCTCCACAATCCCAAACCATAGTGAACTGGCCTCCAAACTCTCGAACCGACCTAACCCAGCTAAAACTACATCAAACTCAACTAGATCGGCCACGAAACTCTCAAAAACAGATTTAAAGGTCATGAAACCGTAGGAACTGGCTGAACCAGCCAAAAAGGCCCTAAACCAACCCTGAACCGGTCAAAGGACCTTAATCTTAAGCACCAGAACATGAACCGAGCCTGGTTCGCCTTGAACCAGCCATCCAAAAATTACCAAACCACATGGTTGGCTAGGTTTCATCATGTCGAACCAGGAATCGATTCAACTTCCCTAAGAACTGGCCTAAAAGCCTATGAACCGGCCACCCAAATGGTGTTACACTAAACCGGCTGGTTCACCTTGAACCGGCCATCCAAAATTTTTCAAAACTACCTGGTCTGATAGCCCTTATTCCACTGACCAGGAACTGGTCCAATTACCCAGAGAACTAGCCTAAAAAGCCTTGAACCAACTGGTCAAACCTTCGGTCAACCCTGGCCGGTCACTTGCCCAAAAACCTAACTCTTATTATTTAATTAATAAATTTCAGTTTATCCAATCCCTACTATTCCAATATCTTCTTATTTCGACTGGGCCTATCCTCGGGGATAGCATAATCCAATTCCTCCCTGAGTCAACTTGGATGGGTTGACTCGTCCTCCTTTAAAACATGGGGCTGAGTTGACCGGCAACCCGGGTTTCAGACCCGGTGACTACAGACCACCACTGGCCCCCAAAATAAGAAAAAACTTAAAATAATGGACTTACCTCGATCTAACGATGCCCAAAAATCGAAAACCCAAGCCAGGTGAGCCTCATGAAGCTAAAAGATTGGACAAATCCTCGATCAAAAGCCCAAAAAATCAAAAAAAGATCCAAACGAACTGCCAACTTCTCAAGCTTCAATCTCTCACTCGTTCTCGCACAATTGCAACCAACCACATGGGGTTTGCGTGCGTTTGACTAAATAGGTCGAAAGTGTGTGACAACAACTGAGAAATCGATCGAAATATGTGGCGTGGGTCAATCACTTAGTCGGCGGCCGATTTGCAGTTTTAGTTTCTTTTTTTTTTTTTTCTGTCCAAATCAAGCCCTCACTACTCATTTTTCCTTTGATTTAGTCCCTTCTAATTTTTTTTTAGATTCGGCCCCAAATCTTTTAATTTCATTCAATTAGCCCCTTTTTAATTGATAAAGAATTCCTCCAATATACTGTTATTTTTCCAACTCCAAAGGCACTAGATAGAAATTGCCTATACTTCTGGCCATTCAACTCACCCAAACAAATTCGCAAGACACCACTCCTTCCTCTCCAACATGTAGAAATTGACCCTAAGGTGTAAAGGCATCCACTTCACTCAAACTTCAAATGCTACTAGTACAATAACTAAGGACATGGAGAGCCACCTCGTATCTAGCCCCACACTCTATGCAGCCTGCCTCATAGCCACTCCATCTAGATCTCATTTGATTAGTGTGGAGTTTTTCATGGAGGACAAGTCACACAAAGGTCATAACTCTCTCAGGGACTCTTAATTTTCAAACTTTGTTCCATCCTCGAGAATCATATATCGAATAGTCATCTTAGAGAAGCTTAAAAGCACTTTTAACACTAAAAACCCCATCACTTTCCCTAGCCCACCACCAAGAAGTTTACTCCAAATCTGGTAGGGGGAGGGATGGGAGGAAATGCATGGAGTTTGAGAAGCAAGGTGGAATCCAGTAAGCCCGATAGCTTGTTCCAACCCTAGTCTCCATTGGCACCTACCATATCCTTGACCTTACAACTATACATGAAATCACTTGGCCACGTCTAAACGTTTCCAACTGACAATCCATCTTATCTAGTAGTCGCAACCCTTTCCTTGTTTCCTATTCTCCAAAATTCTAAGTTTTCCAATGCTTTCTACTCCTGAACAATATCCTTCCAATCCCTAGAGTCCCGAGTATTAACTTATATGGAAGAAGACCAATTCGCACCCTTTCCATATTTACCTTTAAGCACATAAATCCATGAAACTTTAGCTACAATTTTGAGCTTCCAGCTAAGCTTCATGACACAGGCTACATTCATAACATGGAGACTTTTCAACTCCTAGCCTCCTTATCCTTTGGGTTACACACCGTCTTTTAGGCTAATGGATGGATTTTCTACCTCCCCACCTCATGTCCTAAAATGAAATTCCTTTGAAACCTCTCCAAGTCATTAATAACAACTTCTGAGATACTAAAGACCATCATAGAGTGACTAGAATAGCACTAAGGATAGACTTGGCCAAAGTAGCTCATCTGCCAAAGAGAGGTGAGTGATTTTTCAACCGGAAAATCTAGTCTTCACCTTTTCCATAATGTATTGGACAGCCTTTCAGTTGCTCCTTCCTTGAAGTAAGGAAACCCCAAGATAGCAGCCCATGCTACTAGCCTTAGAAAAGTCACAAACCTTAGTGATCCTGTCACGATTGTCTCTATTAACGTTTTTGAAGAAAAGAATGTTAGTCTTGCTCCCGTTTACCTTTTGTCCAAAAAGATAATAGAAATCATTCAAGCAATCCATGATGCACTGTATCTAATCCACATTTACTTGACCAAATAACAGTAAATTGTTTGTAAACATCAAATAAGAAATCTATGAGCCCTCCCTGTCTGCTCTAATAAGAATTTATATTCTTTTCCTGACCTTGACTTCAATAATTTGAGAAAGTTTCTTTACGCGTGAACAAATAAATACGAACATAAAGGGTTGTCTTATCTGATGCCTCTGTTCGGGTAGAAATTCTCTACAAAATGACCATTCAAAAAGATATTCCTGGATATTAAGGAGATGCCACTCATAATTACCTCCCTCAATCCATTGGCTGGCCAATTTCCTCCGAAAGTCTTTTGACGATTGTCCATCGGCCTCCGCTCCTAATTGGACCGACAATCCAGGCGGGGCTCAATTTTCAAATTGGACATAGTCTTTCTTGCTTGATGGGCCACAATTCCATGAAATCAGAACCGTGTTTGGCTGAAACTCTAGAGGGGACATGGCTGGGGTTGTTGCGTTTGTTTCGGGTCAATTTTGGAAATATATGCTCGTTTGTACTTAGACCTCTTAGGTTTTTGTCCTTTCGGGAAAAAATATAATAAGGGCTAATTTGGAAATTTCTCTTACGAGTAGTTGCGAAAAAATGAAATTAAACCGGGATTGACGTTACCATAAACTTTGTTTTATATTATCCCGATAAACAGAGAGAGAGATGTGACATAAGACTTGTCCACAATGATTTTATTTATTAATTGGTTTTACATAGCCTTGATGGTTGTCGTTGAATGTGATAAGTTACCCTCACACGTCAAGTGTGACGTCACGAAACCATTTTTTAAATACGTCCAAAAAATAAGGTTTATTCATTTCTTATTTTTATAAGGGTTCCCACTATTTCTTTATTACCTAAAAATTATGGTTGTCTACAGTCACTCCTTGAGTAATTGATGAAAATAAAAAAAAATGTCATTTTGTTATAGAGTATGCAATAACTTGTATCATTATAAATAAGAAATTAAGTTAATTATTATCAGTAATTTCTAAAATAAAAGGATAATAACTAACCCAGTTAATTAGTAAAAATTTTTAATACAATATAAAAATGGAAAATTACAATTTTATGGTAAAGGGAAATGGGTTTCTTGTATTTCAATTTGCAATGTTGCAATTTGCTATGCAAAATTGGAAGTATTTTTTCTCCATAAATTTGATTAATTAATGTCGTAGCCATTTTAGACGACTAAACTGTACTTTAAAAGAGTACCTCCAAGCTTTTTACTTACAACATTGGTTCTTTCTGCAAGGAAATGATGTACTACCCAAATTGGAATAAGCTGTTTAAAAATTTTCTTAACTAGGACAATTTTGTTTTAGAGTAAGTTTACAATTTCACATCAGTTCAGAAACTGTTATGCTATGGTAATATCTTGACAATTTTTTATTTTTTAAAAAAATTGAACCGTTTTAATTATTTAATTATTTTTTTAAAAAAGTAAAATGGTTATCAAATTCCGACACTTCATAATGGTGGTGCTAAGTATGAGAAAAAGCCAGCTGAGCTAAAAGACTTTAGAAGCATATCCCGCTTATAAGTCAGATCAGAGCTCCTCACCGGGGAAAACGTTTCTGAAGTCGGCTAGTTTGACGTGGAGGCCGAACGGTCCTTAGCTGTAATTTACAAGATTATTCCAGTTTATTTGATGTTGGTGCTATCTGGGCGACAGATGTCCTTATATTCCATCATAAAAACAATCTGTTGGAATAGATATCATTTATCTAAAGGTGCTGCTGAAATGAGGGAGTACCCAATATTAAATACACAAACTTTTCTCATATTGCATGTATAGCAGAGGTTGTTGCAGTCTTAGAGCTCCATATTTGTTGATCCGTCGTTTTCACATCCCCGAATAAAACCAAGGTATCCATAAATCAAAGCACTCTAATTCTAAGTATCCAACAATAAACAACTAAGTTGACATTTTCAAAAAATGGGTTCCACTAGAACTAACAACGGGTCGATGTTTTAAAAATTAACCATTATTAATGCCCTCCTTGCCCTACTAGCCGTTGGATTAGACATAAAAGTAATTAATGCATATGCTTCAACGGAAACATTTCCATCTTGAGCAATACAAAATTATACAATTCAACTATAAACAATTTGACAGTTCCGAAGGTCTTCTATTTTAAGATGACACGCCAGGTCCAACGAAGTAGATTGCGGCTAATTAATTGTTGCAAATATATTTCCATTATTTAATTGCATTTCTCTTTCTTGATCGAGTCTTCAAGGTTACAGAGCACGAGATTGAGGAGGGTTAGAAAATGGTGGCTTAAATATTGTTCGACTCCAACAATTTCACAAATTTTAAATTAACATTTTTGACTTCACGCAAAGGCCTTTTTGGGACTATCATTTTTAAAGTTTTTTACTTAGTTTAAAGTCTTGTATTCCACGGAGATAACTTGAATTTCGAACCAAAATTTTTGAAAGCACAAAAAAAAGGAGGAAATTTGGGAAAAGAAAAAATAAATACATTCCTGCTAGAAAACTTGCAAATCAAGAGCAGTATGATGTAAATTGCAGTATATGTCATAAACAGATAAAAGAAAAAGGAAGAGGAACTTGGGGGAGGAGCTATGACTTATTTGGTGCAGGGCGCCGCAAGATTGATTAACACTCAAAACTTGTAGTTTGAAAATTGGAAGTAAGTTTAATACTACAACATGTTAGATTCCCATTGGACTTGGACTAAGAAAACTTCTTTTTTAGTTTATTTAATCAAAATATCAATAGATAACATGGCCAACGCTCCTCTCGCCCTTTGTTCTTCGTCCTCTGTAATGTATATATATAACTTCAATATTGAACCATGCACATACGTAGACAGAGAGAGAGAGACGGGGAGAGAGGTGAATTGAGAAATGAAGGCATGGAAAGGCTTGTACTTCTTGACGGTGGCGATTATGGTCATGGGAAGAGGAGATGGGCAATTGACCGAGGACTTCTACGACTCAAGCTGCCCCAACGTAGAATCCATCGTCCGGCAGGCTGTATCTACAAAGTTTAGCCAGACGTTCGTCACTATTCCGGCACCCTTCGGCTATTTTTCCATGACTGCTTTATCAGGGTAGGACCATTGGGTCGTAGAATTAGTTAAGCTGGGTTTTGAAATTATTTCCACTTTCCACCCTCTGCTTTCGTCAAAATGCACCAGAATGTTCTTTTTGCTGAGTCATCATTTGTTATCTGCAGGGATGCGATGCCTCCATTATGATTGCGTCACCAACCGGGGATGCAGAAAAGGACGCTCCAGATAATCTCTCCCTCGCCGGAGACGGTTTCGACACTGTAAACAAGGCAAAGCAGGCAGTAGAAGCAGTATGCCCGGGCGTTGTTTCATGCGCAGACATCCTTGCAATCGCTGCAAGAGACGTCGTAGTCCTGGTAAAGATTGCATTGTCATTCATAGCAATCATCAGTCTTGTTTTCTAATGTTACAGTACCAAATTCTCAGAAAGGAAACATAAAAACTCTATTTCTGTCAGGCCGGTGGTCCTTCGTTCAGAGTAGAGCTGGGCCGTCTCGACGGGCTCTTCTCCCGGGCGTCTGATGTCCCCGGAAACCTGCCAGAACCGTCCTTTGATCTCTATCAACTCAACACTATCTTCGCCAAGAACAATCTCACTCAATTAGACATGATCGCGTTGTCCGGGGCTCACACCGTGGGATTTTCTCACTGCGACCGCTTCGCCAATCGGATCTACTCGTTCTCGCCGTCCTCTCCGGTGGATCCTTCGCTGGACCCGACCTATGCGCAGCAGTTGATGCAGGCATGCCCTCGTGACGTGGACCCCAGAATCGCCATAAATATGGATCCTGTGACCCCACGAACCTTTGACAACGTCTATTACCAGAATCTGGTTGCAGGGAAGGGATTGTTTACTTCGGATGAAGTGCTCTTCACCAACCCAGCTTCTCAGCCTACTGTTAATGATTTTGCTAACAGCCCGAGTGACTTCAACGCAGCCTTTGCCACTGCGATGAGAAAGCTTGGTCGGACAGGAGTAAAAACTGGGAATCAGGGAGAGATAAGACGAGACTGCACGGCCTTCAATTCCTAGGCAGAACGGGTCCAGCAAATATATAGGAAATTGAGACGTGAAATAAGATTGGAAAAGAGTTCATCCAAGTCATCAATTGTTTAGAGAAATTTGGATGTTCACTGTTTGCCAGGTGATTAGACAATCACCTCTATAAATAAAGTTGACTCATCTCTGCAACCACTTCACTCAAAGCTCTTCCCTCATTTTTTTTGTGGTAATCATTCTTCTTACCTCAAGAGTTAGGATCGTGAAGCAGAAGTAGAATGGGGATTACATCACAATCATATCAATTGAAATGGAAATGATGGCCGGAGAAGATCCTTGACCCCATTTATATTGTCCCGATTGTAATTCTTATCAATCTCTTAACAATAAATATCATTCAAGCTTAATTAACACTGGCATATCCAACAAAGTAGTTTGAAACACTAGCATTTTACTTCGGTACACTACAGCGGGCAACATGCTCAACAAAACTGTAGGCATTCTTCTGAGGTAATCATATTTAACACATGAAGAAAGACCAGACCAACACGCGCATCTCAGAAGCTAAAAATACAAAAAGACCTAAAGCGGGATGACAAATCCTCAGTTGCAATGGGCATCAAATTAACATTCGTTTTCAAATAGTTTACAAAGATGACCTGAATGCTCAATATCTTCCAAGAAAGTTTTCAATTTCAACAACACTTGACATTTGAAAGAGAGACCCTTGCACCACTTCATTGTTGCCAATATGGAGCTGAGAATGTAAGCATGTCCTGTTCTATCTTCCAATTGGAAGTAGTTCTTCATTATGCTTGTTTTCATTATCTCTTAGTTTATGTACTCAGAAATATGCAGTGGAAACGGAGGACCCTCCTCCACAATCTTGCACAAAATACGCCAACAATACTAATCCGTAGTAATTGAGTTCCAAAATGACATCTTAGTTCTCTTCTCGTGAATCAGGTGCGAGATTTTCCATATAGGTGAGCGTACACAATTTTAGTCCGATAGACAAGAATCATGCTCAAAACAACTGCAACCATGCATAATCCTGACATTATCATTGATGTCAGGAAGAAGCATACGGCACCTTCACACTTTGGTGGTTCATCCAAATTAAGGCTGCTTAAAAATATTGATCCGGTATTCCATCCATTAGGAGGGTGATGGGCTGATAAGCTTGCTTCTCTGCTTCCCTGTCATATATACTGCTCGCAATCAGACCAGAGAAGATCAGGGAACCAGCAGGGTTTGCAAGGGTAAGAAAGTTGTATAAAGCTCCAAATTTTTTCAAGCCAAACAACTCAGAGGCGGCAGCAGGCACAATTGCCCAGTGGGCCCCATATCCAAGCCCAATCAGAAGAGTGCCAATATACATTGCTCCATTCCAACCCATAGCAAGGAAGAAGTGCCCAAATGCCATAATGATTTGGGCAACAGCCATTGCCACTGGCCTTGGATATGCATAGTCCCTATTTAAGGATACCAAGCAAGAGTGAGGAAATGCTTTCCAAAATTAAGTTCATTACCACCAATGGAATAGATAAAGATTTTTCATACCTGACAATAATCTCTGAAAAGTAACCTCCGCCAATACGGCCAAGAAAGTTCCAAATACTGATCAAGGAAACAAATATATGGGTGTTATCATACCCTAGAGATTGGCTCATCTGCCCTAAATTATCAATGACCGTCAGACCAGATCCAGAACCCAATAGAAGTGAGAAAAAGAGAAGCCAAAAGTCAGCCTTTATCAAGGCCTGCATCAAGGTGAAGTCCTCTCCCTGTGTGGACCCCTTCTCCTCTTGACCCTCACGGCTCCTTCTGCAGCTGCTTGAGCTAGCTTTGCTTGCAGTTGGGCAATTCTCTTCTGCCTCTCTGAAGCTGGAAGCAAGTCTACTTCTTTGGTTTCTCATCTTCCACCTCACTAAATATGACCTCATTTGCATCAGACTCAGATTTGCTGGGTTCTTCTTTCTGTGGCTCAGTCAGAAGAGCTACTTCTGCTGCATCTCTTGGATCTTGGCAAAATGTCAGTGAGACTGGAATGAGAATAGGGATTAACAAGATAGTGAGTAACACCACAGTGAAAATTACAATCACAGTGTGCTTCAAGTCAATTAAATCTTCTAGAAGCATGACTGCCATCAGATAAGCAGCCAAGAGAAGGCATACACCATAGATAAATGAGAAACATGTTCCATCAGATGATCTGACTTGTCTGTGACCCCCAACAGGCCGGATAATGAACATAAGAGCAATAATCACCATCGCTGGCCCAACTGCAACCATGAAGATGAGTGATGCATGATCAGGGAGTGGATCACAGCATATATCTGAGTCAGAATTGCTCCACCCAACCCAGCAAACCCCTTTAATATCCCACCACAGGACCCCTGCTTTTGGGGAAGTTCTGCACGCACGAGACTAGAGCTGCTGTATTGAAGTAGGTCTCACCATTTGTCCCCACAAATATAAGAATGCACATCTGCGTAATGACACTAGTTAATAGTCTCATTTAATTAAATGGGATGTTTTTTTGAAGAAAATTACATGTAACACTCAAATATTCACTTTTTTTATTTTTTAAAAAATCACTTTTAACATGCAGGTATTACTGGCTGTCCTTATAATGATTTTTTTAAAAAAAAAAACCACATTGCTTTTTAAAACATGAAACCAACTGGAAAACAGATCGTGCCCGGTGGAAATAGACTTCATTCAAAATATTAGTAAGAATCTAACATTCTTAATAAATCAATCAGTGTTTAGTTTGCTTTACCTAGTTTGAGCATTCAAAATGGGCTACCATGTCAAATTTTGAAGCTTAGTTAAAGAAAGCCTTAGGAAGAACCTTTCTCAAAAAAAATTTTAAGGGAATTTTGGCCAGTATGCCATCCAAAATTAGAACAAAATTCATGGAAAAAAAAGGTATCATTCTTGGGGATGTTTTACAGTAAGAAAGATGTGATGGGGATAACAAATTTAAGATTTCACAGACATTTGGACACATTCAATAAATAATATAAATTTTGAAGGGTAAAGCACAATCATGATCCTGTGTATAAACTTAGCCTTGCGGTCATCAAGTCCAGATCATGATGAACAATGTAGCCAAAAACAACTATGGGCATCAAATGCAAAAAATGTTCTTCTTAGACTCAGTATATAATCAACATATTAGTAAAATGGCAACTTGACTCCATTCAGAAAATATAGGCAAATATATAAACCCACGCCAGTCATAATTTTTGAAACACTCTAAAAGTAGAATCTAAAAAGGCATCATGCAGGTAATAAGACAGCATTTTATAGAATTAGAAGTTCTTTATGCAGTAACTTAGAGCCAATGAGAACCAGATACGCAAAGTGCAAAGGTAAAGAAATTAAAATAAGCACACAATTATAATTTCTAGGGAAAGAGAGAAGCCATTGACAACCAAATTTGAAGACGCATACATGAGCTTATGAGTTTATTATTCGAAACAGTTCTGCCAATCAAGAGAAACGTAGAAGTAAGATCGATCAAACGATCTGATTATCAGCAATCCTTTCTAATGTCTTTCAAATCTCGTTATTCGATTAGAATATGCTCAAAGTTCGAACGGAGCAGATCATTCTTTCTTGCACTTATCGGAATCAACTCCAGGTAGTAGGAATAACCCGGATTTGTGCAGAGTAATATCCCATAAAAATGACACAACCACCTTTGAACCCTATAAAGTAGATTAGAAAGATATGCCATTCTGGTAAATTGAACTTATCCATCAAATTCACTTCAGATATGTAAACTCGTGCTAAAGATTCAATAAATGTTATCAAATCGCTATCCAAGCTAGCATAACAATTAAGATGATCCTGAAGAAAAAGAGAGAGGATGAGAGAGAAACGCATAAGAACAAAAGGAAAGACAACGAAACGAATAGACCGTTTCATAAAGGAGGAAGATTAAAAAGGCAATTCAAGGTTGATACTCACAGCCCACAACGGCAGAATCGGAGCTCTACCGGTGACGATGAGCCAAACCCAGCCATAGCCAACAAAATTCTGGAAAGCACCAACAAGCAGAGCACCCCACAAGGGTAAGACCTCACATAAGCTTCCAGCCAAGAACCCAACGCTGTCTCCGAGGTCCTTGGCCACACCCAACCTCGCAACCTGCCTCTGATTGTAGTTCAAAGAGCTTTTCATCACCGGCGATATACTCCCAAACAAGTATCCAATACCCGCACACGACTGTATCCACATTGCAGCCACAAAGACCAGCCATCTGTTGTTTATGAACGCAAAAACCTCTCCCTCAGCCGAGCCATCACGCATCAAAGTACGGTCTTGTCAAATTATCAACGAGAAAAGGGATACTTGAAGATCTGAGACCGAAATGGATATGTGGGGGGTAGCAGAATCTGTAGAAGACCAGCGAGATGGTGAATTCTTTATTTGTTTTCTTTTCTTTCTTTATTTAGGCAGGACCAAACGAGCATTAAAATGGGAGATGATGTATCGGTTGCGCGCATAAAACCGCAAACAAATAAACACCCCTGACATTTGAATTAATTATGAACTCACCATTTGCAAGGGCCGCCAGGGGAGGCGGTAGTTGGTAATGACGTAAGAGTTTGCCGTTGCTCCGATAGCACGGGGTTAAAGACGGGCTTCCATGGTTTGTATTGTAAATTTTTTGTCTTTTAATGGGGTCTGCTGGAATATGAAGTTGGCTTCGTCAATAACACAATCGTGCAACCTCAAAAACCATTTCTGCGAAGTTGTCTCGGGATTCCACCAAACACCCAACCCGATTGGCTGATACGCTGTAAATTATTGAATACATACGATCCAAAGAATTGGAAAATTGTTCTAATACGTTGTCATTACTTTATATTTAGAAAATGGCGAAAAGTTGAGGCATGATTGATATCACATGATGACAGACAACATGAGTTATCCTGCTTCTTTATTAATATTTGTAAATTTAATGATTCTGTCCACGGAAGTCTGCTTCCAAGAATAGGCCCCGTGCCACCGTAATTTTTAATTTCAAGTGGGTGGAAGCTGAGTTGAAAGACTAATCCAGACAGTAAAATTTCCAATTTTATTTATCCTGACCCACTTTTATTCTCTTTTTAAAAAAAAAATTTAACGAAAATTTGAATTGTACCAAAATGATTGGATGTACTGTCTCACATTTAAAGAACATACTGATCAGCCTGCAATTATGAGCCTGATATGTTGAGGTCACGTGACAAAATCTTTCAAACTTATAATTATTGTCATTAATTCCATTTAATTCCACCCTTGCCAGTTCTAGCAAACAAACAAATAAATAAATAAATTATATTTGTTTAAATTTTTTAATAAAATACAGGTTTTTTTAAAAAAATTACTGATATTCTCAGAGTATTTAAATAAATTTTAAAAAATAAAAAATTATCTTTGTGATTATTTTTAAAGATAGATTTAGTAATTTCTGAAAAAATTGATAAAAATTACTTGTATTAATTAAATCTAAATGCTAAAGAAATCTATTTTTCATATAATTTTTATAAGAAAAATATATTTTCAAAACGAATTTTTTTAGAAGTTTGTCCAAAAATACTCTCACCAATCACTTATCCCCTGCACCCAATGTGGGACTATATATATAAACCAATAGAGTAAAATGGAGCAACTTGCAAATCAAGCATCTGAGAGTCCATGCAAGAGGCTTGGTATTTTCGTCCGTTAGCAATGATTTTGAAGTTGACACCGTTCAAATGAAAGCTAACGTGACTTAGGCTTAATCGAGAATGGTAGCGGAAATGGAAATAAAAATATATTTAATATTTATTTTAGTATATAAATATTCATTTCTCAGAAAATTAATATTCTATTAAATGCGTGAATCAGTATTTTTATTTTTTTGATGAAATGTTTGTTTAATTGTATAATTAGAATGATACTCTTTAGTTTTTAAGTAAATAATAGAATTATCATGTAAATGTAAAAAATTTTAAGTATTTGTAAAATTATATATTAATATATTATATTTATTATTGTAATAAATATAATATATTATGTTATACATATTATATAATTTATTATATTTATATTATTTAATGTATACATATATAAATTATTATTTATACATATATATTATAAGTGAATTTAATATTTTAATGTTAGAATAAAAAATTTTTATTTTTAAATTTTTAATATGTATATAATATATTAAAAATTAATTTTTAATATTTTTTAATTTTTAGGATAAAAATATTTTTGTTTTTAAATTTTTTTTATTTTTTTTTTATTTTATATCTAATATATCAAATATAGTAGTAAAATATACAGTACGTATCAAATAAATTTATAAAAATTCTTATTATATTCAATTCAATTCCTTATATCTCTATCATTTCCATAAAAAATTATCACATGATACATGCACCTTAAAGTTTGAACATGAATTGGGGCCACGATCTTCTCTTTAATGTATCTAATTTAATTATTAAAAATTCAATACACCCACTTAAAATATTAAATATTCAAAATAAAAACGTGAAAATATCTTACCGAACACAATCTTCTCCACCATTTTTCTTTAATTTTTGTGGTAGATAATTTCAAAATTCAAGAGTTTCAGAATTGTGTAGGACTTTACGCACGCACTACTCCTTATGATCCCGATGTAAGACAAGGGGCAGAGTATCACACGCACTACTCCTTATGATCCCGATGTAAGACAAGGGGCAGAGTATCACACGCAAGATTTTTGCGGTTAAAAGGGGCTAATCACAATTTTAAAATTCAAAAATTTCAGATTTATAGAAAATTTTACACACCTTTTCCCTTTGATTTTGGGCCCACGCCTTCATGTCTTCCACCGCCCCCACTCGTTCTCGCCGGAAATCGTTTTTTTTTCAACAATTAAACATCAATATCTATGCAGTTCATCAATATCATAACGTGCCAATCTAGCGGCTGCCACGTGGCATAAATGCCAACTTAATGCGGAGGGAGATTTATGATTTTGTGTTTCTATTTAAAATTGATTTTTTAGGAGAAAATATAAGGCCACGCTATAAAATTAAAATGATGTTCCTGTAAAGTTTTTGTTTATAAGGAGACCACAGTTAAGAAAATAAATATCGCATAACAAAATCATTATTTATATTTTGACCTTTTCACTTTTACAGAAATTTTTAATTTTTTAAAATTTATAATTTGATATTACATTTAAATTTTAATTGATTTATTTTTGTTAAAATAAAATGTTTTCTTATCATTATTTTTTTTAATAACAAAATGAGTTCAAACTCAAAAGAAACAAAACTAACTGGTATCTTAAGCATCCCAACATATTTAATCTTAAAAAGGCTCTCAAATCAAGGGAAGAAAACATCTTTCATGCCGATTCAGAGAAAAGACTTTGTGTGGCCAAGTAATCAGCATAATTGTTCAAACGTTTCTTAATATGAATGATTTCCACTTATCATTTGATTTAGAGAAGATATTGGATTTTTCTATTAATAGGCTTGACGTAGAATTATATATCTTTTTTTTCGATGAGAATCTATCAACTGTTTGAAATTTAACTCAATAATAACTCTCCTTATACTCAGATTCCAAGTCATAAAAAGTCCTTCCACAAACCTTAAGCTTCAATTACAAAAATTAAAAAGTCCAATAAAATCGAGTGAATGCTCTAATTCAATCCCCTTTTCTATCCCTCAATAGGCCCCCACATCTAGATTTCTTGTAGCTAGTCATGACTGCCCTATGGTATTTAACTTAACCCAACCAACTCTGTGGAGGCATCATTTTTCTTGAATAATACTACAATTCCTTATTTAAACGGTAGAATCTACACATTTCCTATAGGGAAGACAACTAGCAATTATCAGTTGATAATCCTTTCAAGATTTGTAGGTCTTTGAAAATTCTCATTAAAAATACTTTCACTCCTCCAACTTCAAATAAGCCAGACAATAATAGCCTAATTGTTTGCCCAATCATTCCTAGGAAAAGCCTCACTATTCCCCCTGGATATTGTAGATTATACATTCCTCAAACTCAAAAATAAAGAAATTCACTCTAAAGGCAAGCAGTGTCAATCTCTACCGCATCTTTATAATTATAGGACAATCCCTCGAAACATAGACAATGGTCTTCTGCATGGCCGCACTCTTTGCAACCTGTGACTGAAGGCTCTCCTTCCGGCTCTTCCCTAAGTAATTGTGATCCCTAGATATTAATCCAAGCTACTAGACTTTAAAAGCCCTGAAAAAACCTATAATTTGCTTATAGGTGTCCTCCCCCACATTCTTGAAAAGTAGATATTAGGGCCTTATTTGGCTGGCCTATTTTCTATATTTTATTTTTAGTGAAAATAGAAAATAGACTTAAAAATGTATTTGGTATGCATTTTATGTTTTCATTTTTAGAAAATATTTCTTGAAAAGGGTTGAAAATTGAAAACAATATAATGTTGTTTTCAGCATTTTTTAGGAAAAGTGAAAACGCAAAAGTAATTTTGTAGATAGAGGAATTTTCCATACTTTCGCTATTTTAGTTTCTCCTTTCTCTTCAATCCTTTAGGCATTGCCGTCGATAATTGCTGGAGTTATCTTCTTCTCGTCAATAATGGTTGATTGAAATGTTACCTTCTTTTCGCCAACAATCATTGAAAATCATAGACCCTTGGTTCTTCTTCCTCTCCTTGCAATTGCCTTTAAACTTCGCCAAATAGCATGATCTCTAGTGTGAGCGGGAAGAGGAAAGAGAGGGAGGTTGTTGCCATAAGAGATGATCATGATGCTGAGAGTGCTTATTCCATCGCATCAACGACAAGGAGCACGATGACACCCCTTGAAAAAAAAAGGCTCGTGCTGTCCAAGGACCAACCAAACTGTTCTTGAAGAGAGCTTCGTCCGTTAGCAATGATTTTGAAGTTGACACCGTTCAAATGAAAGCTAATGTGACTTAGGCTTAATCGAGGGAATGGAAACGGAAATGGAAATAAAATTTTATAAAAATATATTTAATATTTATTTTAGAATATGAATGTTTATTTCTCATAAAATTAAATTCTATTAAAAGCATGAATCAGGATTTTCATTTTTTGATGGAATTTTTGTTTAGTTGTATAATTACAATAGTACTTTTTAATATTTAAGTAAATAATAAAACTATCATGTAAATGTAAAAAATTATAAATATTTGTAAAATTATACATTAATATATTATATATTTAATTATACTTATTATTGTAATATAATATGTTATGTTATATATATTATATAATTTATTATATTTATATAATATAATATAATATACACAGATAACATATTTTTTT